GTTGCTTCGAAAGAATCGACGGATTGCTAGAGATCAACTGAGGTATTCTCAGATTATTGGCTCGCTTATGTATTTGGCGAGTGCCACGAGGCCTGACATCTCTTTTGCTGTGAGCAAGCTAAGTCGGTTTGTGTCAAAACCGGGAGATGATCATTGGCGTGCGCTTGAGAGAGTTATGCGCTACTTGAAGGGCACTGCGAGCTATGGGATTCACTACGCCGGGTATCCAAGGGTACTGGAGGGTTATAGTGACTCGAACTGGATATCTGATGCTGATGAGATTAAGGCCACAAGTGGTTATGTTTTTACACTTGGTGATGGCGCTGTTTCCTGGAAGTCTTGCAAGCAGACCATCTTAACGAGGTCAACTATGGAAGCAGAACTCACTGCATTAGCCACTGCCACTGTTGAAGCAGAGTGGCTTCGTGAGCTACTGATGGACTTACCTATGGTTGAAAAACCAATACCCCCTATCCTGATGAACTGTGATAATCAAACTGTGATCGACAAGATAAACAGTTCTAAGGACAATATGAAGTCCTCAAGGCATGTGAAGAGGAGATTAAAATATGACAGGAAACTGAGGAACTCCGGAGTTATTACGTTGGATTATATCCAAACATCGAAAAACTTGGCAGATCCCTTCACAAAGGGTCTATCACGTAATGTGATAGATAATGCATCGATGGAGATGGGTTTGAGACCCACCGCATGAGTTGTCCATAGTGGTAACCCACTCTATGTGATCGGAGATCCCGTGAAGTAGAAGTGGGAGACAAGTTGTTGGTCAGCTGAGAGGAGAGTATCCTTATTTTAATTATCCCACTCCATGAAGATGCAATACTCTCCTGATCTGCATGGCAGGTTGATATCTATCTTAATGTGTTCCAAGTGGCTTATTTGAGTAAGCAGAGATGTTGTCCTACAGAGCATCTCCTGAGGAATACACCTATATGAATTTGACTGTTAACGTCGCAGTCTGTGAGAAGTGGGCGCTCTCTAATAAATTCATGAAAGGCCCTGGAGTACGACGTATACGCTCCACCCGCGGGGAAGCCTTGCGGCAGCCAAGTATCGGTCAAGAATTTGTGTGAAACTAGTCTCGCAGAAAACTTGTAGTTCAAGGCATAGTCCACTATTCAAGTTGTGATCTAGTGTAGCATAAATCTCTACGTGGAAGTTCAACTTCACAGTCTCCACTAACACTACAAGAAATATGTCAACTTATGACCTTCTGTCAGTGACCCTGGAAGAATTGGTCATAGATTTATGACCATTTGAGACCAATTGGTCAAAAGCTGTTCGAGGGGCTCCAAACCCTAAACCATTGTGACCATTTTGGTCAGAAAGGTCATAATTTCCATACATGAAATGGTCATAAAGCTAACAGCGCTAGTCCGCTGCCTTATTTCTAGTTGTTAACGACCAATATAGATGGTCATAGGCTTGTAAATTGTGGTGGGTTGCTATGACTAGGTGCCACCTCATCAGTTTTGCCTATGTGTCATGTCCATGTGGCAGTTTTTGCCCTAGGTTGTGAAGCAACCTATATTTCTGTCATTCCCAAAATTCCCAAAAAAATCTCATAAATTCTTTGGGTCATATCTTCGTCAAATATGTAAAGACCTTCCTTGCCTAGTTCAAAAATAATTCAAAAATATTCATTTTCCTATTCTGTTCAGAGTAACAGTTTGTGAAGGAAGTATCACTTTGGCATGTCCAAATAGTATCCATTTTCAACAGTGCTTTCCTATTCCCAAATAACCATCCTCCACCAAATGCCAGCTCAATCCATTCATTATTTTGAGCCGAGCTTCAACATTCGTATTTATGTCCATTGTGGTGGTTTGCAAAGCAAGTACCACCTAGGCTCCTCCTTTTGAGATGAAAATTTGTGAAAATGGTCTTCTTAGTAACTGATCATCCTTAGCCAAAACTCACGCCCATTAGCCATGTACATTTCCCATACCGCTAATCAAACACTTGGCTGCTAATTCATGTTTGAGCATCGATTGGTCTCCTCGTGAGAATCTTATGTTGTATTTTTCTTCCTAGCACCAACCTGGGGAGTGCCCAACCCACTAGACATGCCTAGGCCGCACAGAACACATGGCAACGCCATGGTCACGCGGTGACCACGCGGCGGGCATGCGAGTTTACGCGCTCTAGAGTTGGGGCCCTCGGCCACCGCCCAAACCTCGACGTATCGCCACCAAACCATGTATTTATGATTAAATAGGTCCTTATGTAACTAGAAATGATTTTTGGAAAAAATAAATAGCAAACTATGAGGCAGCTGCAGTTCAAATTTGACCCGCTTCCAGCTGAATCGGCAGAAATTTGTCTTTTTCACGAGAGGTGGATAAAAAAAATTTCACCCAACAATTTTGTCAATTTTGCATTAAATATGGCCTACTATTTTATAAAAATGATTTGGTCCAATTTTGCAACAATTATTTGGTAGTTCCTTCACAAAAAACCCTCCTTTCGGGCACTCAAAAAATGGAAAATGGTGTTTTCGTCCAACGAAAATGAAAACTTCCTTAGGCAACATTGTTTGCTATTCCAATATGCACCCTTGTGCACAATATGAGATCATTTGAACAAACTATGCCATGAATGTGGCCATAAGATTGATCATTTCGCTTGAAAAGCCATGAATCTTCACACTTGATAGCTCATTTCTGAGAACACTTTTTTAAAATAATTACTATATTACAAGTTTATTATTTTTCCTGAAAACTTGGTCACATATAATGACACAATGCGAAGGTTTTCCAATTTTTTGATTTTTTTGAATTTTTTATGCCCGTTTCAGAATGCGGTCAAAACGGCGGGCTTGACCGTTCCTAGCTAGTGGTTGAATCTTGGAATTTTTTTGGTGTTTCTATGATTAAATAGATACTTATGTACCTAGAAATGATTTTTGGAAAAAATAAAGAGCAAACTATGAGGGAGCTACAGTTCAAATTTGACCCGCTTCCAGCTGAATCGGCGGGAATTTGTCTTTTTCATCAGAGGTGGATCAAAACTTCTGACACCCAACCATTTGGTCAATTGTGCATAGTATTTTAGAAAATTGATTAGGTCCAATTTTGCAACAATTATTTGGGAGGTCCTTCACAAAAAACCTCCTTTCGGGCACTCAGAAAATGGAAAATGAATTTTTCGTTCAAAGAAAGTGAAAACTTCCTTAGGCAACATTGTTTGTCATTATAATATGCACTCTTGTGCACAATATGAGATCATTTGAACAAACTATGCCATGAATGTGGCCATAAGATGATCATTTGGCTTGAAAGCCATTGATCTCCACACGTGATAGCTCGTTTCTGATAACACTTTTTTAAAATAATTGTCGTATTACAAGTTTGTTATTTTTCCTGATAACTTGACCACATATGATGACACAATGCAAAGGTTTTCTAATTTTTTGATTTTTTTTAAATTTTTATGCCCGTTTCAAAATGCAGTCAAAACGGCGGGAATGACTGTTCCTAGCTAGTGGTTGAATCTTGGATTTTTTTTGGTGTTTCTCTGATAAAATAGATACTTTTGTACCTATAAATGATTTTTGGAAAAAATAAATAGCAAACTATGAGGCAGCTGCAGTTCAAATTTGACCCGCTTCCAACTGAAACGGCGGAAATTTGTCTTTTTCACCAGAGGTGGATCAAAACTTTTTACAATCAACCATTTTGTCAATTGTGCATTAAATATGTCCTAGTATTTTAGAAAATTGATTTGGTCCAAATTTGCAACAATTATTTGGTAGGTTCTTCACAAAAAAAAACTCATTTTGGGCACTCGAAAAATGGAAAATGATTTTTTCGTCCAAAGAAAATGAAAACTTCCTTAGACAACATTGTCTACCATTCCAATATGCACCCTTGTGCACAATATGAAATCATTTGAACAAAATTTTGTTCAAATTTTCCCTGCTTCCTACTGAATGGATGAAATTTGTTTTTTTATAAGAGGTGGATCAAAAGCCTTTGACATGTAACTATTTGGTCAATTTTACATAAAATGTGGTCTAATATTTTTGAAAAATGGAGTTGTGCTATTTTGGAACAAATATTTGGTAGCTTCTTCACAAAAAAAATGGAAAATCATCTTTTTGTGCAAAGAAAATAATAGTCATCGAACTATGGCATCATTTGCCATTCTAAGATGCACACTTATGAAAAAACGAGATCATTTTGACAAACTATGCCGTTGTTATGTTTATTTTTTTTAAGTTTTGGGTCCAAAATTTTGAGATTCAAGTGCGAGATAGCCGGCCAATGAGACGCGAGGAACAGCTTTCACGCGGATCACCAAATTGGACGCAATCTGAGCCATCCATCACGCATCCATCCAACGGTGGAGCTTCTCCCGAGAGTCAAAAACCCTAACCCACCCACCCACCCTCCCCTCGATCCCCCAGATCCCCACCCGCCACCACCCCCACTCACCCACTCCCC